AGGTCTGTGCATCATCTGGAGTATTTCAGGAAAGAGACATTGTTGTCAGATTTTCAAATGTATTGTTTTGGCACTTTGAGCGCCACGAGCCAAGTGCCATCTAGTTCCATTATATGTGAGAGAAGGCAGACATCTCTACGGCCGATCTCTCCAGCACTCAGCAACTCACACCAAGACAGTGTAGACTGATAAATGGCACTGCAGATAGGGGGAAAAAATCTTCTATTTTGGGTTGAACTGTCCCTTCAAAAAATGAAAATAAGATCAAGAGGCATCGAGACTCTTCATTTATATTATGTTAAAAAAAATACTACTGGCTGTATAACAATATCTGATTTTTTTTATCAGCCTCAGAAATCAAGGTTTCAGATCAAGGCTTTAGAACATCTGACTTTATAGTACTTACATTGAAAGCCTTAAAACTGACTTGTTTCAATGCTGACGGCCCTTATAAAACTGATGCATGTTGCTAAGTGGAAATCAACTTGGCTCAGTTTTGAACTGGCTGCCTTTGTACTTGCGGTTACTGCTGTCACTGTCTGTATTGCATCAGTCCTATATGCTGCAAAGTTATGTAACATGGCAAGAAAAGTATCTCAAAAATCATGGCAACACACACCAAACAAGCTGCATTAACAAAGAGGCACAGGTAGATTCTCACAAACACTGAATGAAAGACATACTGTGGGATATTTGATTAACAACAAGACAAAATACATTGAAAATGATGCTGTAAGGAAACTTCATGAGCTTTACCAAACTGGAGTTTATTGCAGGTCTAATTTATTGTAAGATATTATTGCTATTGTGTCCATGGGGAATTTAAAGGAGTCACTTTATTTCACCTTATTGCTTTATTATTCTGTAAAGTGTTCCATTCGCTTGAAAGCAAAGTGCTTCAAAGACACTATAGCTCTCAGTGCATACTTCACAGTGTCACTTCCACTAACATTATTCTTTGCTGTGAACACACACAGCAGAGATTTAAGACGGCAATTTAGTCTTTTGTAGTAGGTAAGCATATCCAGGAGATAATTACAGTATTTCAACTTCCTGACTGCGACTTAGTTCAATCTAGGATTACTTTTCCATTGTTGTTACGTCTCGCACAGAACCCATTGAAATTCATTTATAAAAATATAATGAAATCCAGTGCATACTCAGCAGCATGGTACGCCTATGTATCTTTTATTATGTCTTTTCTTTATGTTGTGTTTTCAGCACAGCGTGCAGTCATTTGCTCTTTCTCTTAGAGAATGGTAGGAATCAGGTCTTCTTTAGCCGGGCTGTTTTCATTGCAGGGTTTTGTGTTAATTTGCAGAAGGAGGTCACAGCAGGGTGCTTGGCTAACTGAGACACCGCTCAGTGAGAATCCTCAACATTAGAATATGAAAGTTTACAGATCTCACGAGTATTCATCTTGGGGCTCATCCGCTAGCACCCATCACCTCCATCCTCCCCATCTGCCTTTTTTTTCTCCCTGTGTCTCTAATCCCCCTTCTTCACTCTCGTCTCTTCACCAAAACCTTTCATCTCTCTCTGCTACGCTCCCGTCACCCCATCACTCTCTTTCTCTCATTTTCTCTCTCTTTCTGTAATTTTCAACGGAATTGGATAGGGGGATATGTTTTACTCTGTTGGCTGTTTGTTCTTATATTTCGTTCATTTGTCTATCAGAAATCACTTGTCAAATTTTACCAAAATAGGAGAATAACATGTATTTTACACTTTTGTTAAATACAGGAACTCTGTGTTTAACACGCTCTGCTGAACAAGTGTTCAACCTGTGCTTGACCTGTTCATAAGAGACATCACAAGTTAATCCCTGGTTAACACTGAGACTTCAGTCTGCAGCTGTTGTTCAATGGACATGACTGCTTAACTTGAAAACTGCACTCTCTGTTTTTTTTTCAGACTTTATAATAATAGTTAACAGTATCCCCATAAATGCCAATTTACCAGTCACTGTGTCTGATGGCACGTTAGCTCTTTCTACACAGAGATCTGTAGGGCCACTACAAAGTAACCCTACATGCCACCTTTGCTTTTTTAACCAGATCCAAATGACGGCGGCATCATTTCACTCCAGTGTGTGATTATAGACTGCATGCCGGCATTGTCGAATCAAAAGAGGCACAACGGGCATGACATGTTACACAACAGTGTCAGTCTCTAGTGTGACATAACATATGCGTAGGTAGTGCTTATGAACAATAACAATGGTAAAACATGGAAAAACAAACATTTAGTGTCCCTGTTATATGGCGTCTCATCTTGTCCTTTGCTCAGAGGGTAGTAACTCCCGAATCTCATTGTTTACCAATTTGCAGACATTTACGGCTGCTCTTCTTATTTTTTTGAGTTAGCTGCTAACTGCTAACATCTACTTTTTAAATCTCTCACAGTGGGTCACACGTCAAAATGTCACACCCGACCTGCCAGCTGTCCTGTTTATACAGAGACTGTTTAACCATAGTTACAACCTCCCATGGCAGCTTAAAGGCGAGACCACTTTGTCCACCCATTCTGCCATGGCACCTTGCATACAGCATGGCAAGGCTGCCAAACGGTGTGATATTCCCACCTTGAACAGGCAGTGTAAAAGGGGCTAGTATAACACGTGTCACTGAAAGGCATATAATAGGCTTAATTGGGGCACTACTTCTTAGAAAGCAATAATGCTCTAGTTTTAAAACTTGGAGGAATCACCTTGCTGTGCAGTGAGATTTACAGTACCCTCACGATGTATGATTTAAATGGAACATTTTCATATTTGATAACTTCATACAGAAAATAAAGTCACAAAGTCATATCTATATACATACCTGTATCGTCATATGACATCACGTCATGTAACTGCTCTAAAATTTGACTTGAAGCCGTTATAATCAACAATTTTTATATTAGTAATGATTGTGATATGATAGAAGTCATAGTCATAAATCCACAAAGAATTATAATCCGACGCAGTAAATCTTTTATCATATTTAAACCCTTGTTTTGGTTTTCTAGGCTGCAACTTGACTGTTTTAGTTCAGTCTCAATGCTTCTATTAGTGTCATTTCCAGGCAGTTGTTTTTCCAATGAAAACAGCTCTAAAAACTAAAAGGCTGAAGAGCCGGATATTTCCCTCAGGAGTTGGTGGAGAACAAAACAGAGCTAAAAGAAGTTACATTCATCAGGTGGCCATAAACAAAACTTTAAGTGAATGCTGATGTTAATAAGTGTCCGACAGTTGTGTGAACTAGCCACTGTTTGCTTACAAGTTCTCCATATCAACTTTTTAATCTGTTAATGTTTGGTTTTCAGCTTGTTGCGCTGCCCCCAAGTGGCCAGAAAAGCAGGTCTAGATATCATGTAATTTGACATGCAACATTTAACCCCACTCAGCGCACTCTGTGAAGTTTACAATGTGTCATAATTACCAAGTACCAAAAGGGATAAGACAACTTTCTCTGACTGGATCGCTCTCTTGACTGCGGCTGAGGAGACGGTTTGTATTCATCACTTCCTGTGGGCAGAGACGATTTCCTGCCACTGCCCACACCCAACACCAGAATTTAATTTGGGCAAAGAAGGCAGATGGATAACATCTTACTTAGATGGGGTGAGACGCTGCTGTCTCAACTGTGGATAAGACAGTGCATCTTTACAGCTTAAACAGAAACATATCTGCAGCTATAAAAGAAAAGCTGTGACACACCAGACAGTTTCACTTAAAATGCATCATGGGAGCAAGGTATCACTGGTTTATCGTAATTGTCACACGTCTGAAGCAGTGACTTGTGTGTATCACCGGTGGGGATGTTTACAGGCAACAATGTCTTTAGGATTTTATTACTTTTCAAATAGGTGTTATTAGGCTATGTCAGCACAGCGGCAAGTCTTGTAAATATGTCAATTAACATGGCGATTTAGATCAGAGGTATAATCACTTTTCCATTTCATCTTTAACAAGGGTGAAATAATCTGGAGCTAATCTATAACAGGCAAATCCAATCAGTGAAGCCATTGTCTGTTGTCATTTGAAGCTCCGCCAGACTTTGATCGCCATGGCAGTAAATTGATTAGCAGTGATCTACTGGTCCCTCCTAAATGCTGATTTGGGAAAAATTGGTTCAAGTCTTTGTCGTAAGCTGAGGTTGTGGTTGAGCTCCGAGCTACTCTCATCTTCCTGCACTGCTCTCTGTACAGCTCAGTAAGAGAGCAACATAGACGCTGGGCGCTGTTTCTGCCTGCTGCCGTCATTAAGCTCGCTGGCTGTCTGGTCTTCTGCAGACTCACAGGAGCAGTCAGGGTGGGTTTGGTTGCAAATATGAATTTAATTAAATGTGACTCACAGAAGACAAAACTGCTTCAGTTTGAAGGAGAAAAGAGTCAGGTGTGGATCTTAAAGTCTCACTCTGCCCCACCTTCTCCACTTCTGTCCACTCACTTGTCCTGCCTTTGCATTTGTACACCCCCCTACACACACACACACACACACACACACACACACACACAGCATGTACGGGGGGAGAAGAAACAAAGTGGGAGGCACCTGATCACTTCAATCATCCTGGTTGTGATTAATGTAAAGTGGTTCTTATTTACAACTCAAATTTCCAGGGTAGATGTGCAGGTATTAAAAAAAATATCTTCAATTTTCTGGTCTGTGTCCGACAGCAAGGGCAAACACCAAAAGAGCTTTAATGTGAAGCGACTAATACAGAGTCAGGAACCATTAGAAATGCATTGGCTCCCTCAGTTTGAGCACTTTTTTACCTAAAATCCTAACGCAAAGATTATTTAAAGTGACAGTTTATTTAATGACAAGAGAGTCTTTGTAATGCTTCCACTTTATTGTGTCAGATGTAGAGGATTCTTAACCTTGAACAGTCCACCGTGCTCTAATCCTCAAACCTTATCTCCGCTCTTTATTTTGACTTGTCAGTCAATCGAGTTCCACATAGTTGGGTGCTTTTTTTTTATATATAAATATCAGCGGGAGGCTCAGCTGAACAAGTTGTAAGTGAACAATGAGAGAGCAGCGTGAGAGGGTTTTGTGTTTTCAAAGCCTATCACTCGTCTTTGAGGAAATTAGTAGTTTGAGTTAAAGTTCAATAGATATTGAACACTAACAAAGTGGCGTCTTCTGCTGCTTTGCTGTCTGCTTATCAGCCCCGTTTCAGCTCTGCCTTCTGTTGGCGTGTTACATAAATAAGTTATAAATTTAATAAATAAGTAGAAGTCTGATTTATGTATGTATTTCCGCAGGCGTCGGCGCATTAAAACCATTGTGTTTAAGGTCAGGAGCATTGAATGAATCAGATCCTTCATTTTTTCCCCTGCCTTTCATGTTTTCTACGAAACTTGCATTAACCTGCATACCTTTGACACCCTGTAATGTTTCTCTTCCTTTCATCGGATCACCTTTCCCCCCCAGCGCCGCCCTCATGCCTTCACCTTTACCAGGTTTCCTCACTTTCTTTGACCCTTTCTCTATATCAGGGCCAAAGGTCACATCTTACAGCTCCTGTGGAATCAATCATAGGTCAGACCTTTCAGTCTGCCTCCAAGGCAGCTACTGAGGGAGCCTGTGTTTTTATGTGGTAATGGGTAGCTGACTGGATACAGGCCAACGCATGCTGAGGACACACTTTCATTTCTTTGGTTTATCCCCACTGACACAATGAATTAATTCGCACAGTCCGTCAGGCTCGTCGTCATCGCTGTGAACGTATTCACCGCAGCGACGTGAGATCTTTCAGTATTAATAAACAGATCTGTACTGAGGCTGCTGTGGCTGATGTTAGGGTTCACAGGGGAGAGTGACACATTTAGACAGGTTGACAGGAAAACGATGCAGCACAGAGCGACTCGACGAGTTTGTACCTGGGAATGTTCAGAGCTGTACAGTGCCTTGAAAAAAAAAATGGCTGCATCTTTTATTCATGTTCTGTTGTCGAGGTGTCAAGAGTTTTGTCAAGCCTCTCACTGTTCCGTTAACCTTGTCCCTGTGAAACATTCTGTCTCTATCTCTTTGGTTAAACATTACTGCCAGGCCACGGGGAGAACGGAGAGAGAGGGGAAGGGATGGAAAAGGGGAGGCGAGCATGGTGAGGAAGAGCTTCTGCTGCTTCCCTTCATCCTTTCATCATTAAACAAACATGGCCTCTTACCAAAAGGAGTGCAAGAAGAAAGCAGAGCCATCAAGACAGTAAGAGGAGGAGGAGGAAGAGGGGAGACTGAGGATGAAAGTGATGAAGAGGAGAGATGGAAATGGAGGAGAGGGGTTTTGGAGGAGACGGAGTACCTGTGTGCAGAGCAGAAAGGTGTGCAGTCCATCATCCTCAGACAGGCAGACAGGGCTGTCTGGGGAGTTTATTTTTACCTCGATATGGAGGTGTGTGGATCGGCTACAGCAGCCTGGTAGCACCTTTCAGTGGAGGCTCTAGGACAGCTGCTGTCTCAGTGTGACCATCTTTCACACCTGACAATATACAATCATACACACGTGACACAAACACACACAGACACGCCAAAGTCTTGTGCTGTGTCATGCTTCAACTTAAGGTTTTTATATTGTCTGTCTTATCTATCTGTACATCAGAATGCAGAACGATTAGTCATGTAACCAGTTAGTCAAATAACATATTGATCTTCATCAGCTAATCATGTCAGTAATTTTTCATGCATAAATGCCAAGCATGCATTAATTACCATTTCTCAAATGTTACCAACAATCTGCTTAGGTAACACACTTGAGGTTCCATTTTACCTCAGTGCACTGACCTCTAACTGAGGTTTTTTTTTTTTTTTTTTTTTTTTTTATGTGGCTAAATATTTATATACAGTGCATCTCAGGAATATGAAAACACTTGAGAATACCACCAGTCTTGCCCTTAATCTGTTAAATATGATTTAAGGGGAACTGTGAATACAAAGGTATAATATGCAGAGTTGTCAGTTACTTTATATGAACACACTCGCCAGCGAAAGTGAAAGTAAAAGCCACACCAGATAATCTCTTGGATGTTTCTTGAGTTTTTTCTGCCCTCAGATGCCTGCTGCTTACAGTCTGGCAGCTGGTCACTACCTTTTTAAAAAGCCGGACCTCACCTGAGCGCTGTGGGGGGTACACGTCTATAAAATACAGGCAGGGTCTCTGCAGAAAAATACACTGTCACACACTTTCAGGGCGTTGTAATTGACAAACTGAGAAGGATTTCTTTTGTATGAGTCTAATTGTTTTTTAGAAATATCCTGCGTGACATATCTTTAAGCACAAATGTACTCATTGCTCCCTTTGTTAAAGGGACAGTTCACCCCAAAACCAAAATACATACTTTTCCTCTCATTTTTGGTGCTATCTATAAATCTAGATAGTTTTGGTGTGAGTTGTAGTAAGAGTGTTGGAGATATTGGCCATAGAGATGTCTGCCTTCTCTCAAATTTAATGGAGTTAAATGGCACTCAGCTTGTGGTGCTGTGGTGCCAAAAAAGTACACATGAAAACAAAAGAGCAGTGTCTCTCTCCAGAGATCATACAGACACTACTACAGATAATCCACAGACTAGGGCTGTACCAACACAGAATTATGTCAATCGAATCAGTCGACTACCAGTATTCAATGAAACGTTTTTTTCTCATAAAGTTTTAAAGTTTGAATGGGGTTCAGCGATATGTTCATTGTGACAGCGGCATTCACTTAATATAGTAAACAAGCTAAATGAAGTTGGATAGGAAGTTTGCAGCAACATTTTTTCGCCGACAAAAGCCAGAGACTGTCGTATTAAGTTGCTGTGAGCTGTAAATTCACTGCCTCTAAGCAGAAGAGAGAGATAATGTTATCTCAGAGCCTTACGGTGCAAAGTCTCTCCTCCTCAGTCCTGCTGCATCATGTCAAGTCAAGAGTGCTCACTTAGCAAAATCTGGGGACCAAACTGTCACCAGAAATACATTGCACATCACACTGACTAGCAAAAAACAATAACGACTGTTTGACTTGAAACAATCTCATCATTTGAGGGGTCTGTGATTGATGATTTGAATCTCCGACTTTCAAGGGGCAGGCCTACTACAGATCTTGTTGTGAGCAGTTTCATGTAAGAACTATTTTCTTTCTACTGAATTACACCCGCCACCTGTATCACCGTGCAGAAGGAAGCATGTATCTACTGCTAGCTCACCGTGCACCACTGAGCGAGTTAACGTTACAGCTCAGCTGAGGAGGACACCATTAATGTTTACATCTCGCTTGGAGAGTGTAGGTCGGTAGAAAGAAAATAGTTCCTACAGTAAGATGCGATTTCTCCAGCCCTCGGCTGCTCACACCAAAACAATCTAGATTGATAAGTGGCACATTTTGATTTTGGGATGACCTGTCCCTTTAAATCCACTACAAACCTCTCCTTCCTTATGTGCAGTGACCATATGTTGTTACACTAGACCTCCTGACCAACTCTACAGGGTGCTGTTAGGAGTCAGTGTGATCTGCTATTGATCTTCTGTGGATCAATGTTTATCTTGTATTTATAGACCTGGTAGATCATCACTGCTCCCCCTCTTCTCTAAGTTGCTGTTAGTACCAGCACAGACACACTGGGAGGAGAATTGATTAACAAATCAAGCCTGTAATTAATTCTTACTGTGATCAAAGCCTTGGGAGGAAGTCTGCGGAGAGCCCGAGGCAAGAGGGTGAGGTGTTTTACAGTGCAATCCCTACCGAGCATACTCTTATCAACACGCTGTTTGTTCTTCAAACAGGTGGGTTTTAGGTTTAGCATAACGTCGGGCGAATTTCAAATGTCTTTAAAGGGTGCCCTGACTGTTGTTTGGCATTGGGGAGATGATTAGTGCTCCTAAGCTGGTGTGTGTCTTTAGGTTTCTCATGAGATTTGTAACGGACTGTGACGCCCTCACACATCACTGCGCGTTGCATCTCGGAGCTGCTTGGCAATCTGTATCCATGCGTAGGCTCCTTCATCTTTATTTTTAGGCAATCCTGGGAGAAACTCCCTCCTAAATATGGATTTATCTTAAATACGGAGTGGGAAGTATAATTGTCTTAGCTCCCAAAGCAGTTGTTTTCTGGCCCCAAAGTTAGAACTTAAAACTTAAAGATGCTCAAACTTAGGGATACATGAGGTGGATCTTCAGGGGATTTCAAATGCTTAGTTTTTTCTGAACTGTCTATCTCTTACTGTACATATGTTGCCTCTGCTCCTTATGATGTTCAATTTTGTCATATTTCTGAGCTGTTTTTTTTACTCTGCTAACATCTGTTGTTTACTGTTTGGATCTTGAAGAACAAACTGACCCATTTCCTCCCACTGTGTTCTCTATCTCTCCGTGCAGGTTAGCTCTGTATGTGTACGAGTACCTGCTGCATGTAGGAGCACAGAAGTCAGCACAGACCTTCCTCTCAGAGGTAAGCCTCAAAAACTGGTGTACATATTTGTGAGAGTACAGCACATGTACTTTATGTGTCCACTCTGAAAGGTGGTCTGACCCTAATACAACATGTCCAGTAAGTGTAGCAGCTAATTGAATTAGTCTGGCCTCACAGTGCTGAGCCAACAGGTTAGCAGGAGCAGCAGACGGGCTTTTTAACATTAGTGTTGCATTTAGTGGGACTGGAGCCGGAGCGTGGGGAGAGTTACGATCCTCGGCCTGCCGCTGACGTCTTCGACTGACATCATTCACTGATCCGCTCTGCGGCCCCGTCTCAGTCGATCTCTTTCAATTTCACTCTCGTCCTCTCTTATTCCCCCACCTTCTCTTTGTGATCCATCCCCTGTCTTTTTGATCTACCTCTCCACTGCTGTTCCTGCGAAGCGAGCTTGTCCTCACTTTAATTCTGCAGAGGTAAAAAGGTGACGGGGTGAAAAGGAGGTCAGCTGATTCCGGTGCTTTGCTGTAAATGACGGTAAATTACAATGTAGGAGACAGCGGCTGGAGGCTGGTTGTACATTGGCCAGAGGAAGAGGAGAACAAAGAGAGGGGGATGGAAAAGGTTACATCATCAGCTGGCACCAATTCTCATCACTCTGATTTGTTCATGTGCATACACACACACACATACCGTGGACTCTCCCTGACACCCTTTCCTCTCTGCAGTATCACTTGCTCTTTCTTCGGCAGATGTGGCAGATGAATGGGATAGGCGGCGTCGCATTCAAGTGTGGGAACGCATTAGCTAAGAGTGCAACAAGTATAAACACAGCCACTTGTATCCAATACACATGGCCGTGCACGCATGAGCATGCATACACACACACAGGGTAAACATTACCCTATAATGTAGCTCTCGCTGGAGTGGTAGTGGTGGTGGAGTGAAACACAGTTTTAAAGGCCTGTTATCCACTTTTTATCATCCACATCTGTTTACAGTGTATCCTCAGGCTCAGGAAACAAGAGCCCAGAAAGACAAGTCACGAATCAGACCCAAATACCTCGACGTAAAAAATAAGGCTTTCCCAAGCAATGAGAGCAGCCCCTGCAACACGCAGCCTACATCTGCCAGTAATCACGCTAAAGGCATCTCGCTGTAACATGGTGAAGGTAAATGAACAAACCTCCCGGGAGCGCAGACCACAAGAAGACAGGATATGCGGGCGCAGTCAATGCTATTTTATTTCCAGATGAAAGGGGGAATAAAGGAGCACGCTAAAAAGTGTCCTGACCCGAACTGTCTGCAGACGTGTTTGGACTGAGCCACAGCCAATTAAATGTGAGAAATGAAGGATGTCATGCCCATGCTGCATCTTTTGTGCCATGTAAGCAACGATGAGGGGGTAAATCCTTCTTTGTCACAGTGTGTATGGAAACTGCTGGCCGCCTATAATGTTTCAAGTTAACTGATGTCTTTACTAGAACTGCTAACTTGGACTGAAAGCATGTGGCATAAACAAAGAGAGGCAGTTCCTGACCCAACAAGAAAAAACTTCAAAGCAAGACATTCCTTCTAAAAGTCACTGTGTCTGATGTGCAGCTGAGGTCAGGACGGTCTGATTTGAAGTGATTCAGTTGTTCCTGTTATTTTAGAGCTTGTTCACTCCACTAGCAGAGCAGGTGGTACAATAGTCGTATTCTTTCACCCATATGAAACATTTCAGTTCATGAAGACGATCATGAGGTCATTCTTAAAAGTGATGTAAGTGTGTTTATGGAGAGGTGAGGCAGACTAAACAATGGCGTCATAGTGTGATAGGAGAAGCCCGACTGCTGCCCACAGCTGCTGCTCAAACTGTGTGCTGCTCAAACTGTGTGCTTTCTTCTGTGCTTTGTCACGTCAGTTGACACTGTCTGCAAACATAAATCATCCCCACTGTGGGTGATGTCAGCAGCGCTCATGTTAGTCACTAACCTTGACGGAGGGCGTCAAAATGCTTCAATTGAAGTGTTTGTCAGATGAAACGGTCTTCTCCCACACCTTTCACTGGAACACAGTGGTGGAATTAACCATTTGCTAAGCCCCGCCCCCATTAGGTGCTGTTGCAACATCTGCCTGTCTTTCTGTTCTGGCACGGCACATTATGCAATGATAACAGTGGCAGATGTATCACTTGGAATTCATTGTAATTTTGAAAGCAATAGGTCCTTGATTTCAGACGACCAGTGCGTGTCATGCAAAACAATCTTACTGTAGATGTGAATTTTATTGTATGTATTTTTTTTGTGTGTCTTTTTGTTCCTTTGCTGTATGTGTCTATTAGACCAAAGTAGCTTCTCATTTCTAGCCAGCAATCATTCATTTTTTCCAGCTAAAATTACAACTGTGCCAAGCAGATTTCTATCAGAAGAGGGAGCAAATCTATGTATCCAGCGTCCTCTGTTCCCAGCTCTATATCCTCTGGATATGGCACATTAAAGAGACCTTTTAAAGAGTTATATGTTGTCTCCCAAGGTCAAGTGTTTAATGTATGTTGTCCGGGGTCAATATGTTGAAATCACTCACCCACAGCTTATAGCCTACACACAGTGGCTGGATGGATTTTTTTTTTTAACTATTCAAGCAGCAGTTGTTTGTTTTGTTTTGTTCTGATTTTTCATTTGAACTGCAAAAATAGCTCCTATTAATCTCCTACAATGTTGGTTTACATCAAGAGACTCGTGCTCAAAACTCAACACAAGGCTAGAGTTGGCCCTTGGGAAAGCAGGACCCTGGGAACATAGAGGATAGAGGATAGTTAGTGCAGTATGCTAATGTTAGTTTCAGGAGTTGGTCAGACTCCTCAATTCCCTATTTGGCTGCTTAACTTACATGCAGCACTTGGACAGGTAAGACAGAGGTTAGATCTATGCTTTATTGTTGGTATTTTTAAAACAGTATGTTCCCTTTTTAACATTGCAAGAGAAAAAACATTGAATATGAGGACCAACTATCTAAGATAAAGAGTTTGCTTGGGGTTTCTGGGGTGTAAACTCCAGATCCTATATAGCAGGACAGAGCTGCTAATGTTACCCTGAACTCTGATAGCATCCAGGACCCCTTAATACTATGCAGCTTGTTGTGAGAAGGGCTTTATTAACACAACCTGTAACCCCCCAAAAAATCATTTATGAATTGCCCCCGGCCTTTAAAGTGACACAGGGTTAGGTATAACAGGTGAGAAGGTGGTCAGAATTTGAGCATCTCATTGTCCAGTGTGTCCGTTCAGAACAATATAAACAGCTCTTTATTCAGTTGTGACTTGGACACACATTAGGAAGAAAGGAAGGAAGGAAGGAATGGAGGAAGGAAAAATGAGTAAAGTAATACAGGGTAGAAAGCCACTGTAAGGACGGCCAGACAGAAGCAAAGTGAATGAAACACTGGAAGCAGAAGGACAGACACTGTGGTAGATGACTAGGCTGAAGGGTGTGTGGGTTATACAAAGGTTTGATTGGGCTCCTCAGGCTGGTACATGTTCCTGACCTCAGACTCTGCATATCCCCTGGCTCTTACACACACACACACACACACACACACACACACACACACACACACACACACACTTGTGAATAAACGGGCTTTCAAGCACAGATAGATTCACTTATCCACTTATGATTCCATGGCATGAGAATCATAATATAATTATATAATGGCATGTGTTATAAGAATTCCCTTGCACCCTCTCCAGCCATGTAAAGCAGGTAATTCAGATGTCGGGCATGTTTTCATACTTAACGTGTTTCTGAAGCATCTCTCTCTGACTCTGTCTCTCTCTGTCTGTCTGTCTGCAGATCCGATGGGAGAAGAACATCACATTAGGAGAACCTCCGGGGTTCCTCCATTCATGGTGGTGGTGAGTGTTTTTATGTCTAATGATTCAAGTTACGTTCCTCCTCATGCTGTTTTTCTCCATTCCATCATTGACAATATTAATTAAAATGAGTGTTCTCCCTCCTTTCTCTCCTGTTTTAATTTATCTCCATCTCATTAATTGTCCCCGAAAGCTCTTCCTCAGGTTGCTGTTTGCTAATTGTAACGCGCTCTCCTAAAGTTGTGTACTCCGATGATGATAATAGAATTGCACTTATTGCCTCGATGCTGGATTACCCTGCCTGCAAAATGGACTATTATTTTTATCTGTCAGGCTTTAATGTTTCTGTTTTTGCCATCACGCTTCTCTCTGACTGTCTCTCTTGTGTGTCGCAGTGTTTTCTGGGACCTGTACTGTGCGGCTCCAGAGAGAAGAGACACATGTGAACACTCGAGTGAAGCCAAGGCCTTCCATGACTATGTGAGTCTGCACTGATGCAGCTTTCTCTGTTCTCCCTGGCTTAATGTCACTGTCCGATTAACACCATATTATATGGAAAACCGCAAGTGTTAGATATTATGTAAATAAATCAACAATTATTTTTATTATTAAATGAATAATACTGTGTAGAAGCAGCTGAAACAGTTCCAACACATAATTATAAAGCTTTGTTTGTTGTACTGAGTTTGGTTGTTGGCTACATAAATAGCTCTGCCCTGTTTGTCTTGATTGATGAAGACTTTGTGATAATAAGAAGCAGTGTTGAAATAAGATGATCTTTAGGAAAAATGGCTTTGCAAATAATGATTTTTTTCTCTCAAGTGAATGCTTTACGCTTCTGTAAAAAGCTACTGCTTAAATGAAATAAAAAATAACCTGCAGTAAAGTGTCGTTATGAAAAGAAGCAGGATACGATATAATTAGATAATGTTAGAATCTAAAAAAATATATCAAAACTGTCTATATTTATTTAAATATTAATTTCATAACATCTTTTTATTTATTTAATATCGAACACTTTGGTGTCCACATAGGAGATATCTTTAAACTGGTGTTAAAATGTGAAAGTAAGAACCTAAGACTGATTAATTGAATTTACATTACATAATAGGGCTGGGCAGTCCATCGATATTATATCGGTGATATGAGATTAGATATCGGCTTAGATTTTAGATATTGTAAGTGTTGTCTTTTCCCGGTTTTAAAGGCTGTATTACAGCAAACTGACTTAAGTTTCTGAACTCACCAGACTTTCCTAGCTGTTATATTATTTGCCTTTACCCACTTAGTCATTATATCCACATTACTGATTAGTGTTATCAAAAATCTCATTGTGTAAATATTTTGCAAGAGTACCTACAATATTGTCGCTATATTGAAAGTATTTGTCAAAAAATATTGTGATACGTGATTTCATCCACATTGTTCAGCCCTGTTACTCACTTTGAAAAATTTGGCTTACTAGTTTAGATCATGGAAAGATCCATATAGACGATTGTAACGTGAATGAGTGGCTTGCTTGCTGCTGTTTTTTGATTACAATAATAACATCTAAAAGCGCAAAAAAATTACGGCTTAGGATTTGGATTCAACAGTCTTCATCAGTTTCTCACATCAAAGCCCAGAACAACATACTTAACACTGTTTGCTTATCGTGCGGCTGCAACTTGTCTTAACAACCCTGTAAAATAGTTTTATCTCCTTATGAATCTCATTTCATCTGAAGTGGTGTTTAATTGAGTGCCTGGTGTGATGTTCAAAGCATGTGATAACAAAGCGTGGAGAACATAATGCTTAATGATTGCAGTACCTGCGACATGAATCCGGCTCTAACATGCGGCACATGCACATATCCTGCCATAGTATTGTGAGCACATTGCGCTGAGGAGCAGACCGGGCAGGCAGACAGTGGCCCGTGTGGTGGAAACATTGTTTATTGCTGTGTTTTCTCAGTGTGGCTCCATTTCACTGCTGTAATTCCCGCACATCAAGGCATCGGTTTATTCAGTCATGCGCCGTCCAGTAACCGGAATTCAGCGAGCAGTGCCAGGGCTCTTGAAGTTTTAGATTAGCTGGTGACTAAGAGAGAGGAAGTGCGGCTCTCCTCGTGGGAAGCTGCGACGTGGAGGAGGAGGAGGACAGGGAGGTGTGGAGGGGTCTTCTCCTCTGCTTTTTATGTTGTTGTTTTCCCACTAAGTCTGACTCATCAGATTTGTCTGTACTGTGGTTTATTGAGATGTATTGTTGGAAGTGCACAGGTCAGGGGTTTCTGCCTACCCCAGCAGGATCGTCCCTCCTCTTCTCTCCACTCCTCTCCTCTCCCCTCCTCTCTCTCTCTCTCTGGTTCTGCCCCTCTTTTCGTTTTAGGCTCGCAATCCTGCAGAACCGGTGGGGGCTCTCTCCTCTTTTATCTTCTGACAGTAGGTGTATGTGCTTGTGTAAATGTGTGCGCATACGCAGGTGATGCTGCTGATGCCGGCGATGATGATCAGGGTGATGAATAGGCACTCCAAGGACGAGGCAGCTATGTGATGATGTCATCCTGGCTGCTAGGAAGGGAGCTGGAGGGCAGCACGACCTCAGCCCTGGGAGACAGACAGACAGAGAAGACAGAGGGGGAGAAAAACAGGGGAGAGAGAATGAGTCAAAAAAGCGGGACAAACTGTCCAAAAAGAGGAGACATTTCTTCTTTAAATTATCAATTCATCTTTTCGCAGCACCTAAAAACCAAACACATTTAGAGTGATTCGATCCAATTGTGTTCAAGATGACAACAACAATATCTTGTTGTGTCTTTTTATCTGATCAGAATCAGCTCAGCTCAGGAATCACTCAGAACCTGTCTTAACGTCATTAGCGGAGGCCACCAGCAACATCTTATTCTTACATTTCCTGCAGGGATGTAATCAGAGAATTATAATTAGACCAATTGTAATTAGACCAAGGTCACTTTCAATCAACTGTTTCAATGCTGCGCTGCTTCTCAGATCCAATCAGAGGTACTACTCACATATCTGCCGCTCAATTAAAGCAAAATGAGGGGACAACCGCGGTGGCCGTCGTTGGAAAAAGTAGCACGCCTTAATTTGATGTTGGTGTCTCTCTCTCAGTCTCCTGACTTTGAGGCTGATGGAGATTTTAATCAGACATTTTGATGGTAATTATTTTCAGATAGCTAATTACTGAGTGAAGTCCTAATTAATGCTGGGGAGATGTAGGAGCTCGTTCACATCGTCTTTGGGTCCCTTCCTTTTGATAATTGATGGGATTGTGACAAGGCTTTTGACTTGATTTGCACGATTATCCCAGTTTGAACTACCTACTGTAGATACAATTGGCTTTGAGTAAATCTGATTTAAAGGAATTGTCTTAACAGAGTGTTTCTGCTCTGCCTGGTTACATGTGCATGATGCTTTGCATGCGGCTGTAGGTCTGCATAATAATCAAGATATAGAACTGCAATATGGCTAAGTGCAATTTCCATTTGCAGGAGCTGCAATTTTATGATGAATGTGTCCCAACCTACCATTATAAATGAAGCATTGTGGTGCTACAGAGATGCTCCGGCCTGCAAAACATATTCCAGACTTAAGGCAAAAGGCTTGTTTGGACCAGACTTTGCAGTGAAAATGAAATGCAAAAAATACTATTCCTACAAAAATTACAATGCATATCACAATATCCATCCAAAATAATTGCAATATAGCTTTGCATATCATGCAGCTCTGTGCTGCTGTGTGCAGCATGTCTTAATCATATCACCAGACTCGAGTGCGCGAGGATGGTCTTCCAGGACATTAATCCAGCAATCCATTGTTAAAAGGGAAAGAAAGAAAAGACTTATGAACACAGTGAAGAGAGATGCAATGTTATTGATTTCCATCCTCAGACGATGCTTTTCAGGCATCAGAAAGGCCGTTTACAGTTCTGTTAAGTGCTTTGTAAATTGTGTTCTTTATACTAAATGAGCGGTTTCCATTTGCGAGGGGCCATGAAGTCATAAAAACAAGTTATTTTTAAATTCTTATGCTTGGCCCGGAAATCGCCTTATTAGAGACAAATGTCAGCTGCTGGTGCTTTTCTGTCTTTGAAGAAGAAGTCATTAGTCCATGCGGGTCATTTCAGGCTCGTCCTGAAAGAGTCATTAGTGTGAAAGTTGAAAGGTAACAGCTGTCATTCAGCTGTAACATCTTCCAGCAAATACTCCACATCATGCAATATTTCAAGGTCTAATAATAATAATAATAATTGTAAATAAATGGAGATTAATATGAAGGTAATCTTCTGTTTTGAACTGTGTGTTTTCTCTTGCGACACCAAACTTTTGTCCCACCTAATTTCTGTGATCTTTAACAAAATACGGTCAAATTAAAGCGGAGCAGGAAAGAATCGAGCCAGCATGAAATTGCTTGTAAGACTGGTGGAAACAATATTGAGCATATTAGCTGCATTTCGTCTGCTACATTATGACATTTAGACCTTTTAAAATGTTTGCTGTACTGAAAAACACTCTATTTAATTGAAATACAAACATTTCCATATAAGTTGTGTTGAGTGCAGTGGTGCGTGGTTGTGTATTTGTGTGTGGCACTGTGAGTTTGCACAATAATTATCCAGTCACACTCTACATGTTTAAACTTCAAACCCTCAGTGGATTATTCTCGCAAACGTTGGGAGAGATAGATGTTGGCGAGGGAGACTGGTGGTAGAAAGGCTGATGAGTTAGAAAAATTTGGGGGAGTTTGGGAGAGCTGATGAAAAAAAACACTCAGAAAGATATCTCACTCCTGATTTGAGGAGATTATCAGTGTCCGACACTTGTACTGGTTGTGCTGTGCAGCCTCCAGATAAGAATGTGCTTATTAACTGAAGCAAGTCGTTGGTTTAAAAAAAAAAAAGACATGAGTCCAACAGCATGAATTGTGGGTTTTTGTATAAAAAGTGATTATTGTGGATGAAAACATGCTGTGAAGTGAAATTAGCAGGTGGTTGTGAAAGTCTTTTGTAATGGCCTCAACATGTACAGTTAATATCACACTGGACTTCTTGCTTAATATGTTTTTCTCAAAAACTGCACATGTGCAGAATCAGCTTGGCATGCAGCCTCTCAGGATGGCAGGCAAAGATGGGCATTAAATTTGAAAAACTGCAATGCAGACACACAGAAAGACAGACTGGCTGATGGATATTTTGACTCATAAAAATACCACAAAATTTTGAGAAATGTGCTGACACCAAGGCTAAAGCAAAAATATATAGTTCACCTTATTTTTTATCTTTAAATATGTTTTTCTACCAAATTAAATTATGCCAGTGCGATAAGGCAATTTCATTTAGTCTAATGAAAGGGGTTTTTTTTGCACAGAGTCCTGATACCAGAGTGATTTTTTTATTCAGTTTTAATTTACGTCTTTAAAGTTGCAATCTCGATGATCGCCGTATCATTGTCTTCGGTGGCACCTGTGACAATAAAGGTAGTT